TACATCGCAATGGGACTACCTTTAAAGGATGCAGTGCGCATGTTGCGAGACAGTCTCAGGGACAGGTTGGCTGGTGGTAGCGTGTCAGTGAAATCGAAGAACACCAAACTGAAAGTGAGGAACCTTGGATCTTCAATTGGATTCAGAATCCTGTTATTAGATCTATTAGTCAGATTTTAGCATCCCAAGGCCAAGGTGGATGGTTCTTTCTTTTGCATGGATAAGGAAAACCATCGTGAAAGAGAAGTTTTTGCCGAAGGTGACCATCCCGACGCCGCTTCCTGGGATTTGCCCCACAGGGGCTCGCACGATGGCAGGCCTTTTCAAATGGCCTGAAGTCTTCCTCGCCCTGCTTTCGCATGCCTATGGAGCAGGACGTGTGACAAAGCGAATTCAGTCTTGGGGATGGGATGTGGCCACTTCTTTCAGTGGAGTTGGGTGCCCTGAAAATGCATCTAGGCGGAGAAAGAACCTGTTTACTCTTTAGGGGAAACCGACTATTGGTTTTCATGACCATTGGGCAAACATATCTGAAATAGACATCATATTGAACTTTGGTTTGTTTATTTCGGGCAAGCAAGGCACTCCATTGCATCCAGGGTGCTTGCAACAAGTTCTTGAAGTTGAGGAACCCCCCGGGAGTTTGTGAAATTTCACTGGGCATTCGAATGGAACCAGTCCTGTCAGAAGGTCCTCGCACGAACCTACCAAGCATGCTGCTTTAGCGATGTGAACGAGTACCAGAAGTCTAAGCCTTTGATGTGCTCCACTCACGGCAAGAAATGCAGACTGAGTTTCAAGGCTGAACGAGGGAGAGCCTTTGATCAACTGAGCCCAAGTGTTTTCATTGTTGAACTCATGTGTGGTGGGAAAGTGATGTTACCTGTTTCCTGGTTTCTGTAAGTCGGTTTCAAAACCACAAACTGAGGATTGAAGGTGATGATCGCTGGCCATGTTCTTAGACATTCATTTACTGTGTTTCACATTGATGTCCAAGGGCTACAGTACAGTAAAGGAACCAGACTCCGCGCACATGGGATTCTTAAAGTCTTAGGTCCACCATGTGTGGCATATTCTCGAATGGGCAAACAACTCCGAGAAACTGATCCTTCATACGAAGCTCACCAGAACCACTATGTCATGACAAAGTCTGAGAGCTTTGATGTGCAAATCATCGAGAATGTCCCAGAATATAGTGAAGAGATCGTTCGAAGGAACTTGCCGGCTCGCACATGGGAGGTCAGAAGCGTCGTCTTGGATCCCCGACTCTTTGGTCAAAAAGCTTCCAGGCCCAGAAGGTACTTCATCTGTTGGCGACGGGCGGCTGTGACATGGGATTCCCCTTTGACCTTGGAAGAGGTGATTAAGACACTGAGAACATGCCCTGTCATGGATCCTCTCCAGTACTTTTGGAAGAAACTCCCAGCAGCCTCATTGTCTGAAGCACAGGACCCATAAACTGCCAAAAATCACATGGTACTGGTGTAAAGTGAATTCACTATTTGAGGGGTTGCGTCATAAGGACTAGCGGTGAGTTCTTCGCAGTGACTTTCCAACAATTGCACCCACCCTGAAGGAACGGAATCGCCGAGACTATGATTCCTATGATTCTTCCAAACGATTCGTGGACCTCCAGCAATATCCCAGAAATGGCCGAGGACGTGCCGAATGCAAAGATGGCAGCCTACCTACTCTGACAACCAATTCAGGTTCCATTTTCTCTCAGGAGGGGTTTGCAATGAGACTCCAGGTTCGTAGTTGCCCCTTACGTATGGATTGAATAGTAGTGTCAACACTTTAAAGGTTTTGCTCCCCAGCCGGTAACCTCAGCCTTGGTCTATGTTCAACAGGAGCTCAAGCGGAAGCTCGCGCCAGCTGAGTGCTTTGCGACGCATTTGTTGCCAACGAACGGTGTGCAACAAAATTTATGCGATGGTGTGAAGCTAGAGTTGGAAAACATTCCGACAACGGCTCTCACCAAGATGGCCGGCAATGCTATGAACCTACCTTGCGTTGGAGCGGTTCTACTAGCTGCAATGATGCGCCTTTCCAAGAAATGAATGCCACTACTTGTCCCAACAAAAATGTTCATGAGACCTAAAGTAAGTTTATCCAAAAACCTTATCTTGGCCGAGCTTGGTTTTCAAAGGCACACATTGTCCATTGGTGGAGTGTGCAACATGCTTCTCTACTGGACGGTTGCATGGTGATGAACACAGCAACAATCCGAGGCTAGCTCTACTACATGTACTCCATGGGTCTCCAACACCCTCCAATAACCATTAATGTAGTGAACCACCGTATGTGCCTCAAATGGTTGCTTTCCAATGATCAGCAAATGCAAGATATGCCAAATGTGGCTTCTTTATGCTTCTTTGACATCCAGTCAAAATGAGAAAAGTCTTGGGCACCAACTCGGATGCAGCTTTACTAAATGTAACATGCAATGACTGCCCTGTCTAGCTGAGCCAGGAGATTCGTCCAAAGCATTCGGCTTGACAGGTCCAGGGTCCAGACCAGGGCTCATCATGGGGAAACGCGGCGGCACGCCTTCGTCCGGCAGTAGGTCTGCCAAGGCCTGCAAGATCGAAGCACTTGGTCCATGGGCAGGGCGGATGGTAGATGCTATCCAGTGGGGCTCTAAGACAAATGGAACACACTTGTCATACTGTGTTTTTGATTGTTTTTGTGTACAAAGCTGTTGGGAACTTGGTGGGGCTTTGGCGGTAGAAACAGCATCATTCCGACTTACAGTCGTCAATAGTCGTCATGAAATTCACTCCAGTCGAAGGACCTGGAACAGTCATATCATGTAATATAGTAATATATAACGACACCTCAATGAACTCAGTGTCTCTAAGACATCCCAGGTCTTTTGATCCAATGAAAGACGCACATCCGGCCAAGTTCGTGGTGGAATCTCTGGCAAACGAGGGTATCTATGAGCCTCTCAAAGAATGGATTTTGCACCAACTTCCAGCCTTCCTCCTTCCAGGGGGAACCACCTTGAATGTTCTTCAGCACACATGTGCAAGCATGTTTTCCTTTGTTTGTAACGATGCAGGTGTTTCCAACTGCTAGAGTCTCCTTGCTGCCACCAACCCCTTGAAACTGGACACTTAAGGTTGAAGGGCCATCATCGACCTTTCTCGTCAGTGTTTTGGCGTTTGCTCTCGAACGACCATGTGATGGGTGGCCCATTCTTGAGGAGTGGGCAACTTTGGCGCGAGACATTTTTCATGGTGGTTGGGAGAACCATCGTGGCGCTATCGAAGCCCGATTGACTGCAAAGGGGAAGTTTGGTGAGCCTTTGACGTTTGGGTCTCTAACACCAAGCAAAGGATTTGGGAGACTGAGTGTGCTGATGTTCGGCTTGCTGTACACGTACCAGAACTGTCAAGACATGACCAGTGAAGAAGAACGTGACTTTGCCAGGCGAAAGAGTTTTGGAATCAAACACATCACCCTTTTGAATAGCCAAAGTTGGAACTTCAAAGGGTGAGGGTTAGGAGCAAACCGTCGTCCTTTGGCAAACAATGCAATAATAGCTACCAAAAAAAAGTCTAGTCCTGGTCTGGGGTGGGTTTGACAACCAAAAGGCCAAAGGGTGAAGGTTTGGAGCTAACCGTCGTCCTTTCATCGGGAAAGCTTGGCCCAAACAAAGGGTGATCCTTTTAATCGATATCGTTTTAAATACTGTTCAGAACAAAACTTGATTCCCAGTGCCCACAACAAAAATGCGCACCTGAATCATTGTTACTTCTCTTCTCCTGGCAAATGGCTGGGGGTGAGGGTTCCGTCGAAACCGTCGTCCTTTGACTGGGAGAAGGGAAAATCGTAAAAAAATTGCTCGGCGAGGAACCCGAAGAGTTAAGAGAAACGGGTTCCCTGCAGCTCCGTAACACTGTGTGGGGGTGAGGGTTTCGCCGAAACCGTCGTCCTTTGACTGG